GACAGCCCCGAAACCTGACAGATCTAGAGGAGATCTGTGTGGAGGAGTGGGCCAAAATCCCTGTTGCAGTGTGTGCAAACCTGGTCAAGAACTACAGGAAACGTTTGACCTCTGTAATTGCAAACAAAGGTTTCTGTACCAAATATTAACACTGATTTTCTCAGGTGTTCAAATACTTATGTTCAGCAGTGCAAGACAAATAAATTCTTTAAAAATCATACAATGTGATTTCCTGAATTTTTTTTTTAAATTCTGTCTCTCAGAGTGGGAATGCACCTACAATGTGAATTTCAGACCCCTCCATGATTTCTAAGTGGGAGAACTTGCAAAATCACAGGGTGTTCAAATACTTCTGTTCCTCACTGTACAAAGTATTAGAGAACATTTCATAAAGGGGTATGCAAACTTGTGCACTGATATAATTTTTCTTCATTTTACTATAACTTTCTTTTCTACGCTTAAAACCGATCATCATCCATTGTTTGAAAGTGTTTCAGATTTTAGCGCAGGTGATGTTAGACTTGTGTCTGTGCCTCAAAGCAACACAACTAACTTGTTCAGCCACGTGTTAAAACACCATACACTGCAGTACAATTAATGCATGGACACCAAGAAGAATACCGTCACTAACATTACCTCACCGTATCCCCGTCCTTGTCCAGCATCAACTCAGACATCTACAGTATAACAGCGACGCTGTACAAGCGTGTCACCGTATCCAGTTCTCAAAGAAATAATAAAATAGTGCATTTGCACTCCAAGTGAAATAATCGAGTAAGTGAAAGCAGTGTCTGTTTATTTATTTTGTCTAAAAATGTTTAGTACAGTTTCACTTATGTTTTGCTTCTAGCAGATGAACTGTGCACTTGTTTTGCTGCAAAGATTTGTACACTAACCCAACATTGAAGTGAAAGCGGAGCTCTTTTTATTTAAAATTTAAAGTGCAAATCGGCAATCGGGCGAAGGCGGGGTCCACCCTGGACAGGTCGCCAATCCATCGCAGGGCTAAAAATCAACGAATCAATGAATAATTGTAATAAATAATCATGATCTCAGTATTGATCAAAATAGCCATAGTTAACATTTTGGCCATAATCACTATTGCTCTGCGGGCCTACTTTCTAACTTGTAACAGTTGTACTCTGGCTCTTGTCTTCTTTCTCCCATACAGGTTGGGTCCTGTCATGCATTGCAAGGAGACCAGTCAGCACCAGGGCTGACGCTGTCGGCGAGCCCAGCCTACACAACACTACTGCAGTTCCATCTCTTAACGGACGTTGCCTTCCACTGTCCTGCCCTCTCTCCAGACATTAACCTTACCCCAGGGGAACACAGACATTTTTTGAGTCCCATCCCACTACTACTGTTCACTACATCTCCTAATAAACGAGCGCCCATTCTACTACAGGGCATTCCTCTTTTCACAGTACTCCTTCATCCTGGGTACTTCAACCCATAATCTCTTTTAAATCATCCCTGGCCAAGCACAAGCATCAAGTGAGGACACCTGTCCGCCAGGGCACCCAGGATCCACCACCATCATGTCCAGTCGACGGAAGGCTTCCACTCCCTGCATGATCCGACCAGAGCAGACAGTGGTGGAGCTGGATGATGATGCAGAGGAATCGCGCAACATGGAGGTATACTTCCAATATGTCTGGCAAGAGCATCTGGCTTTTATAAATAAGACTGTGCGCTTGGTTTTGAGGAAATAAAAATATTTGTGCCCTGTTATGGCTTGAATTTGATGGCTTTTGTTATTTTGTTAGTACAGACCCCAGTTGTATATGAAAGAACTAAAACCCGTGAATGTATTTTATGTAGCCTGTATTTTTACTGCTGTTTTCTGTGGGGCTACTAATCACTGGGTTCAGTTTCTAAATATAGGGGATGATTCAACAAATGTATATTGGACAAGATGTACTAATTTGAAAATGCCATTTGTAGTTAGTCTTCTTCATCTGTCTTTTTCCCTGTAACAGACAACAACTGAGAACCATACTCAAGAGGGACCTATGGAGAAACATCTGTCAACAGAAGCGGAGCCATCTATGGAGTTGGATCAAATAAGCAAGGCTTCGGACCCTCCCACAGCTACAGACAAACCAGCGGCAGAGCCACCGGACCTTTCCAAGCCTCAACGTAGGCAGCAGGGTGGCTACGAGTGCAAATACTGCCCCTTCTCCACACAGAACCTCAACACATTCAAAGAACATGTAGACGCCAACCACCCTAACGTCATCCTTAATCCCCTGTATCTGTGCGCCGTCTGCAACTTCAACACAAAGAAATTTGACACCTTAACAGAACACAATGAAGTGTGTCACCCAGGGGAGAGCAACTTCAAATTTAAACGCATCAAAATGAACAATCAGACAATCTTAGAACAGACAATTGAGGGGTGCAGTAACAATGCAATCATTTACAACACTCCCGGTGCCGTTTCTGGCAAAGGGGATGAACTAGGTACTCTGCCATTAAGCAAACCCACAACAGTCAAGATTGGTAAACCAAAAATAATGTCATCAGATAATAAACGGACAGACTCTCAGTTGGGTAAGCTGACCCCCGATCTGGTCAAGAAACCAATCACAGCAGTCAATGTGAACGGGACTGTCATCATCCCCGAGCCGACACTCCTGAAAGCAGATGGCCTTTCTCACATTATGCCTTCCCTGCAGCGGCCTCTAAACTATACCCAGGTATGATCATTCCTGTTAAAGGAATATTTTGACACTTTCTTGTTGAGAGTGCCACTCTTCATGTTTATACACCAAGTATAAAGCTACAGCCAGAAGGTGGTTAGCCTGAAAACAGATGGCTTAGTTCTGTTCAAAGGTAAAAAAAAACAACCTACCAGCATCTATAAAGCTCACAAATTAACATTTTGAATCATGTTTGTTTAATTAGCAGGTGTATTTCCAAAAAAACTATTTATGCTAAGCTTAGCTTAAAGGCTGGAAGCAAAGGCAAACCTAGCCTAGCCTGACTCTTTTCAGTAGTTGCTGGGTTCTATGCCCATTTTATACTTTTGAGTTTGCTACAAATTAAACAATATATAACTTGTTAATTAGTTTAACGGTGCTAGAAGGTGTTGGAGCCAGACTTGCTGACTCCTCCTGCTTGCAGCCCTTGTGCACATGAAGCTAGCTGTTCTCTTGGCTCTAGCTACATATTTAGCATACAGACATGAGAGTGGTATTGATTTATATCATCCAAGTCATGACACAGGAAAGCAGACAACCATACAGTATGTCCCAAAATGTCAAGCTATTCCCTGAAAATTGTGGTTCTGCATTGCAGTTTTTAAAATCTATCAAGTTGGCAGTTCTACTGATAATACTTTGTCTGTAATGTCCTGTTTATGTCCAAGGAAGCTTCCTAGAAAGAACAATGTAATTTGCTGCCAATTACAAGGAAAAAAATAACAATGGGCGCACTTCATTTAATTAATTTCAATTAACTGCTAGTGTAGTTTGTGTCAGATTATAGCATGTCAACCAAATGTATAAAAATGTGAATTTTTCTACAGGCAAACAGAGAATTTAAGGGAGAGGAAGTGAATTTTAAAATAATTAACAGATTATGAATTATTTACTTGGATTTAAACTGAGCTTCAAGAAAATTTCCTGTTTTTCCTACTACTGCTGCTAACTTTTCACCAAGCTAAATTGTATGTTTCTTGATGGACACCAACACAAAACAAACATTATTGTTCTTGAGGAGAAAAAAAAAGTACCATTCATTTTACATTGGTCAATGTTATTCCAGGTGCCGAAGATCGCAGTGCCCCTCAACACAACCAAATACAACCCTTCACTGGACGACAACCTGACACTCATCTCTTCTTTCAACAAGTTCCCGTACCCAACACAGGCTGAGCTCTCCTGGCTCACAGCAGCCTCAAAACATCCAGAGGAGCAAATTAAAGTCTGGTTCACCACACAGCGGCTCAAGCAGGGCATTAGTTGGTCACCTGAGGAGGTAGAATTTACAGTAATAATAATATTTTAGGCACTGTGTATTCAATTCTGTATTCTCCTATATCTTTTCCACTGCTCCGAGGCTCAAACGGCCTCAACTGGTTTGCACTCTGAAGCCAAATTGCATCTGATGGGTTGTTAGGGTTAAATGGTAAATTCTGTCTTAAATAACGTTTGTTACATCACCCTACCCGCCTTTCTCTTCTCTCCCTCTTCTTTCTCTCAGCCAGTTGTCTCTGTGTCTCCACTTCCTGTATCTGTTGTTTCAAATTAAAAGCCCTATGCAGAGTTGTGTAATTGCAATGTCATTACATTTCCTAAAATTCTGAACCAGCAGCAGGCTGCCGCTGCAAAGTGTATGTAGTGGAAACTACAGCATAAATATGTTTTGATATTAACAATACCACATTGTCTGCGAAGAGGGATAAAATTACTTTGGTGTTATTATTACTGAAGATAAAGATAATATAATTTGACCCAAAACTTTGCACATTATCATGTCATATATACAGATAACAAATAATATTATACAGAGTTATAACAAAGACTTGCCTTCTGACAGGTGGAAGAAGCCAGGAAGAAAATGTTCAATGGTACGATCTCCTCTGTACCTCAGACATTCACTGTGGTTGCTCCTCAACTCAACTCCCAATCGTCCACCAACTCGTCTGCAGCCTCCAAACCCCTGCATCCAACAGCTTCTGTCCTTCAGTCCCTCCCTTGTCAGCTCCTGGGACAGACCAGTCTGGTGCTGACTTCTGTTGCTAACGGCTCTACTGTCACTTGTGCACCACTTGCACTCACAGTGACTAACCAGGTAGAAAACCTTGGGCAGAAATGTAACTCAGTGAGATACAATAACACAAGCAATCAGTATGGCTTACAAAAAGGTCTTTACATTTTCACCATGATTACAACAGATGGCTCAGTCGCTCAAGCGACCCCTGGCCTCTCCTGTGATCGCCACAGAGAGTAAACGACCCTCCATCATTCAAACCATCTCAGCACCCTTGGCCGCATCCAAGCTAGCTTCGCCTCAAGTGCTGAGTTTCACAGTCGACCCCAATAAAACAGCCGAGCAGCTCTTGGTACTGAGGTCTAGCTACACGCAGTGTCCTTTTCCTGAGGAAGATGAGGTAAGAATAAGTGAGTGCAATGACATTTTTGCGGCAGTTCAACATAAATTTCAGATGGACTGTAGACCTTGTCACTTGTTTTATTTTTGAGTAGCGGTACTGGATTTTTAATCACCTGTTTACTGTACATGTTGCTTCGTGTTGTATGACAGATCTACAGGCTGATAGAGATGACCGGGCTGTCCAGAGGAGAGATAAAGAAGTGGTTCAGTGAACAATGGCTTCTTAATCTCAAAGGTATGTACCAGGCATCTACTGGTACAGAGAAAGCAATATGGCATAGAGATGCACACTCACTGGCCACTTTATCAGGTACACCTGTACAGTTGTATGCAATTCAGTGCAACATTTCCACCTTAACATTTGTGTTGACGAAGCTCAGTGTTTCAGTTTTTGGTGAAATTGTCATAAATGTATAAATTCAATTATATGTTTATTATTGAGGTCATAGTTAAAGGGCTTTGTTTTTGTTCTTCCCAGCTACATACATGAAAAGGTCAGAATATTAGGAACACCTCTGAATATAATGTAGTCTAGTACACCACCATCTTTAACTATGACCTCAATAATAAACATATAATTGAATTTATACATTTCTGACAAAAAGTAATGTCACCTATATTGTGTGTTGGTCCTGAAGTCTCTCTGTCTCTCTTGAAGGCACCCCTCCACCACCAATGCTGGTGAAAGCAGAAGTGACACCAGCACCCAAAGATGGTCTTATAAAGAAAGCAGTTCCCAGCCATTTTCCTCTGCTGGAAAGGGTGAAGGGAAAGTCATCAGAGCAGCTTAAGGCACTGGAAGAGAGTTTCCAGAGAAGCAGCTCACCGACTGAGGCAGAGCTAGGTACAGCCCCTGAATCAGTTCTCATTTAGTTTTTTCCCCATCTCATTTTCCTGCTGCACAGAGTAGCAGGAAAGAGCTGAACTTAAAAGTATCCGTAGTTTAGGAACAATAAATAAATATAAATTATGGCTTAACATGTGCAAACTACAAGCTGTCTCCTTAAAAATTTTGATTTGCAGAAATACTAAAGCTGGTAACATTGACAGACTACATTAATATATAACTTGTTAATAGCTTAAGAAACCAAGCTGCTTTGCTTGTGGGAAATCGATTATCTCTGCTTTTAAAACAAATGTTTTTGCTTTACTTACCAATGTCCTGATGGACCAAGCAGTTGTCCTAAATTCAGATATGTGAGCAGATTTGCTTTCCTGCAGATCAGAGCTAATGAGGCATAAACCGGCTCCCTGAGAAATGTGATTACAGAACTTTTAAATTACTTAAAACTTTGTGAGATTCAGTTGGTCAAATTAGCAGCTGGTTGACAAATTGACTATTCTCGCTTTGTAACTTAGATGTTAAAATTAGGCTACTTCAAGAAATTTGGCAATGTTTTTTTCTGTTTACGTAAGTTCACATACGAGTTCACAGCATGTGCCTTAATTTTATTTCACACTAAAGGAGCTGCAGGCCCATCTCTGGTGGGGGGGCTGCGTGACAGACATAATAGAAATGCTTTAATGAGCCCATTTTCAAGTCCCCTGGAGAGAAACTGAAATTCCAGGTTTCTATAAAAACCTTCCATTTCAAGGTAACACAGTTCGTCAGATTCATTGAACTCTGTTCTGCTGCAGACCAGCTGGCCCAGGAGACCAGGCTGTCCAAGACAGAGGTGGACTGCTGGTTTTCAGAGCGCAGGGCACTGAGGGACAACATGGAGAGGGCGTTACTTTCCATGACCTCGAAGAACACAGAGGACAGAGTAGACCGGCCCAGAGCGCTGTTAAACGGAGCATCTCATCGAGAGCAAGACAGAAAACCCTTGCGCTCTTCTTCTCACCCGCCTAACCTCTCCACTTCCTCCTCCCCTCCTGTGCTCGCGGCCTCCTCCCCTCACCCACCAACCCTCTCCTCATCAGCATCTCCTCCCATCCTCACTCCGTCGTCATCCTCTTCTCCCCATCCTCCCATTTTGTCAGCCTCCACCAGCCCAGCTCCCATCGCAAGCCGTTCACTCACGCTACTCCGAGAGGTAAGAAAAGGTGACGACAATGTGTCAACATCAACTTTGACCAGATGACAAAATATTATAGCAGGCCACAAGTGAAAACATTAATGCAAGCTGTAGTGATACAAAGATTAAATACTCTTTTAATCATACAAAGGCTGGTAATAATGGTGTTAAGAGATTAGGTGATGAGATGGTATCTTTGTTAATACAATCTGAGGTGAGATGTGTAAAATTCAACGATTCTTCTTGATACTGTGTTATACTTAGGGTGAAGCAGTAGTGTGACACTTGATATAAAATTGGCTGATACCTGAATATTATCAGTGAGATAAAATGCTGGATGACTACAAGGTCAGATCTGACAAACCAGAGAGAATATGGAGTGGTGGAATGTCTAGAGAACAGCGGGATCCCTATAGGATTAGAAAACCTTTTGAATACACATATCCATGTGTTGTCTCACGAACAGCAGCGGTACTTGTATGATGTCTAGGCACAGGCTACCATTTAATGATGAGACATGTATCTCAGCTCCTGATCTGTGATTTGGGGAAAAAAAAATCAGTAGGATATAGGATTGAATTGTTAGTGTTTTTTGTTTTGAGAATTGCAGGGTTTTCTTTTTCTTTACATGGGGTTTTCAATGTTAACTTTACATGGCCGTCAGCCTACATGTGTCAGGTTTTAGCAGAAATTATTTCAATAACTTTCGACAGATATATGAATGTTTTAAATTTTGCCCCGTGTTAAAAAATTGGTATTTTAGGGTTTTTTTCTGTATATTTCTTAAACATGAGCTCTTGCAAAAGGTTTCTCACATACAGTATGTGCACTTTGTAGAGTTTATCCAGAAACATATGTCAAGTCCCATTTCTGATCTTGTTTGTGTATCCCACAGGCCCAGTAAAGCACTTTTCTTTGGCCATGTGACAGTGAATTAAATCAGTTTTTTATGTTGTAAAATGTTTTGTGTCACGTCATCTGTCTTGATAGATGTTCTGTCGGACCCAGTGGCCCTCTCCTGAGGAGTATAGCCAGCTGGAAATCCAGACAAACCTGGGACGCACCGACATCGTTCGCTGGTTCAAGGACCACCGCTCAGCACTGAAGAACGGTGAAGCTCTGGATTGGATGGAAGGTTTCCAAAACCAAAACCCTGTAGAGCAGCAGAAAGCAGGCCAGGAACAGAACGGCCAGAGCTCTGAGAAGAACCTGAATGTCACTTTGGAAGTCAAGGCTGCGAAAGGTAAGTTGTGGAGGAGAACATGGAGTAGTGGCTTTTTCATCTAATATCATTTTGCAAAGTCTCTTGTTTGACTCTGTGCTTTCTCTGTTTTTGTCATACGACCACTGGTGCAGTGGAAGAGGCAAGTGATAACACAGCAGCTACAGAGCACTCCACACTGTCTGATCAAGACAAAGTCCACTGGCTGAATGACAGATTAGCCCACAGTGTGACAGACCTGAGCAGGACCAGGCTGGACCAGGCCAGCACTGGCACTGCTGACAAGGGGAGGTGGGTGAAGAAACAGAAACGTGTTTTGTCTTGTATTTATTTTCTGGTGTGGAATTCATGTTGCACAGACAAAACTGACCAGCTCACTGCCAGTATTTGCTTTTTAAAGAAATATCTGAGGAGTTATTTTAAGTTATTTGTGACAACAAAGAATACAGCACCATATGGCACATCAAGTTGTGCATGCTGACTTCTTTGCACTTGATGTTTGTTGTATCAACTAGGTTTTCATGCATAGTTTACCAATCAAAATGCAAAACAGAAAACGATTTTGTATCCACTTCCCAGTAGGGCTCTGTTTGTGTTCAAACTTTGTCTGTTTTCCTGCCAGGTGGGTAAAGGTGACTGTGGCAGTGGGGGAGGAGAGTGAAGGAGCTGTGGAAAGACAGATCCTGGCAACGGGCTCAGATGTTTTGACCTCGCAGGTCACAGGCTGATGGTAGGTTAAAATGGTGACAAGCATCAGATGTTATTACACTGTATGTACTAAATTCAAGGAACACTTTTTCCTAACGCTGATGATTTAAATACAGTTTAAAGCATCTTCAGTGAGTTGTTAGGTGGTTTGTTTTGTTTTGGCTACTTGGGGGTAGAACGTTTTGTATATTGTGTCCTTGTATGTATGTAAACCTTATCTGGCCATCATGTTAACAACGTTAGAATTTTCTGGGAGAAGTGTTGCTAGCCGCCTGATGAATGTCTGGGGAAAAACATATCTAGTTCTTTAGCTTGCTGTATGTTCCACTATGTTCATTAGCTCATTGCCAACATTGCTTGTCTGTGGTGCTGGGCAGGTAGTGAACAGTGTAGCAAACGTTTTTCATGAAAAACAATTAGCTGCTGTGGCTGTAAATAATGCTGGTGAGAGTTTGCGTGAATTGGAACCGTAAAGTTGCAGGTTATAAGAGCTAACCAATGAGCTGAAAGACACCGTAATGCTCCATAGAGGTAGTGGTGGGGGGGGATATTTTGTTGATTAATCTTAAGGGGTAACACTGCATATAGTAGCTGTCTGAACCACTATTTCTATAAACAATTATTAGCACAGCTTTAATGTCTGAAAATAAAGATTTTATTATTACAGTCATACCAATCACAAAAGGCAAGAAGACCAATTACATGTGGCTGCTGCCTTTCACTTGGTGCCACAGGCTGCACCTCCCTGTGACTGACCAGAAATAATTAGCCACAAAGATTGGACTGATGGGTGGTGGGGGCTGAATTTGGAGATGGATTGTTACAGCTTCATTATGTGCTTTGGTTTGAATAAATGATGAACAGCTCCTTTAAGATGGTACATCTGCAGCCCCCCACTACCCAGGAAGTTATTAGTCTGTAATTAGCTCAGATTGGTCCTTCAAAAAGGATGGCATGCTGGGACGGCAGGATGATATTTGGACCACACTGTCATTAGCATTGTAGATATCAGCTGCACACACACACACACACACACACACACACACACACACACACACACACTGTTACTGTCACAGGAAGGCAGAGCAAATGGTTGTAAATTTCTAGTTTTTATATTATTGTGCACTTTTGTAGCCATTTCATGCACACCATCTCTGTGCACAAGTAGAGATGCACCGATTGCATTTTTTCTGCCAATTCCAATTATTTTATTCCTTTACTTTGTTACGTCTGACCTGCTGATTTAGATTTTGTCCGATTCTGTTTTTCTGTCTAAGAACTGTAACTGACAGCATGCACAGACAATTTTCTAACTTAAATGAAAAATTAAATTATAATAAAAATAAACCATCATATTAAAGTTTTATATTGTTTTTCTCTCACTTTCACAAACCTCCAACTAAAAGTGAAGTGCAGTATTTGTACTTACAAATAGAAACAGGTGCAACATGTAATAGCAACAGAAGCATGTCTGATACTACTGAGCACACAGTTATTTTTGAAGTGTGTGCAGTTTGTGTTTGCCGTGTTTTACCACAGCTCCTCTGTGTGCTTTTTGTATCCCAAATGCTTCTAATGTGCAAGTGAACATGCACCCGGTACAGACACGAGTACAACTTGTGCTCGAGGTGCATGCAAGATGCTACGTGCTGCGCATGCTGTTCTTTTGGCCTGTGCCACTGCTTGCACAGAGTGGACTGTTGTGCCTCTAAATCTGACTGGCACAGAATTGGAGATCTCAAAGTGATTGACCGATCGTCGGTCAAGGCTGATCACACTGAAAACTGGCCATTTCTCCACTGACTGATCGGTGCACCTCTATGCACAGGCGATGATTTCTAAACTTGTTAGTGACCTAACCTAATGAAATACTGCAGAAGGTAGAACAATGATTTTACTGGCAAAATCTAGACAATTTGATGGGAGAGTCAAACCCCTAATTTCCACCAGCTGCGGCCGACCAGCTGATCGCTGCCAGTCTGGTCAGTGGTTGTGTTCCCACTGGGTCCAGCTGCATTCCGTCTTCAGTCCGTTCCACATGCGGCTGTCTGCACCGCTTTGCTAAAGATACACATCTAGTTTATTTTTGATGGATGCTGGATGATTGTGGGACGCTTCTGACAAGGTTCAACCCACCAATCGGGCACTAGTTGGTAAAATTATAGCCTACCAACGAGTCACATCACAACATCAATCGGCACGGTATATAACAAATTCTAAATAATTATGAGGATGAATGGATTTTTAACAACTAAAATACGGCCATAAATCTTTAATACATGTTTCATAGCGACATAACATTATATAGCTAAATTTAACCGTTAACTGTAGTCTTTGTCTTTAGGCCCTTTGTAGGTTACAGCAGGAAATAAGAACAATAAACACAATTAAAATAGACAATAACAAAATCATTTACTCTAACTATCAAGCCTATTTACCAATTGTAGAAGCTCAAAAAACTGGAAATATGGCCTACACATAAAATCAGCACCACATTGAGCCACTGTGCAGATGCACCCAGCAGTGAATGAAGTCGTACAGAGGACGGATCAAAACTGGGTTGCAGACAGAACACACCACAGCCGCATCCGGTGTAAATTGGGGGTAACTGTTAATTTCAGCCCATGTTTGTCTAATTCTGTTCCAAAGAGTTAATCGTTGGCTGCTGAGTCACCGACCACTGAGTGATGACTCAAGATGACCACATGTGGAACAAGTGATGTAACTGTCTGCCTGCGATGTCATCACAAGGCGCCAGCGACTTTGGAGTTCCACTGCTAAAGCACTGATGCAAGGTGCAGATTCTGACGTTAAGAGGAGTGCCAAAGCTAGATTTGATTCATTGTTCTTACTACTACTACATTTTTTAAGAAGCACCCTTGTAAATATTTTTCTGTATTACAAAAAAGTTTGTACAGTTTTACTGGGAGGGCAAGTTTTGTAACATTTTTAAAGAAAGTCTGACTTGTGCCCTAAAACCTGGAATGTCTTGTTTTGTTGCTGTTTGAAGATCAGAGTGTATGATGGTCTGTTATTTGCTGAAAATACGTCCTTTTTTTCTTTTGCAAAATATACTTGCACACTGCTCTTCATGAGTACTTTTTGAAGGCACTTGCATATATCCAGCTGTAGTGATAGGCCACTTCATTTCAAACTGTTAGAAAACTGTAACTTTTCCTTTTCTCCTGCAGCACCATCTTGACTCACACTCATAGAATTGTGCTGGTGAAGGTGGAAATCACTTAAAAAGTGTTTGAGGGGCAGTTAAGAGGAATAACAGTGTTTTGGGTATTCTGAACACAGCTCCAGCCTCACTGCAGAGAGGCAAAAAGGACACAAACCGCCACATGGGCAGACTAAGACTAACAGCATTAGACTGGATGAATGAATGCACTGTATGTCCTAACTTCTACTTTCCTTTCTGATCAGCTGGTTCTTGCATCAGTACCTGCAGCATGTTCAAGAAACGGTGCAAAATATTCTGATACAGAAACGAGAGCGGACTGTCTGATCACACCATGCTGCCTTTTCAGCTCTCTTATTGACTTTTCATGTCTGCCTCTGGTACAGACTGGTGATGGTGATTTCAGCGGATCGGTTCTTTGCTTTAAAAACTTGAAGTATTCTTGACTGATCTTACCAAGAACATGACAAAATAATCGGAGATATCCATGTTACTCAGCTGTGATCTGTGAACACACCTCATCTGTTCTCGGGGCCTTCTGGCTTTAGCTCGGTCCTTCTATTCAAAACAGGACTTGGTTCATTTGATTTCTGTACAGCCTGAATGTAGGTTTATTTTTGAGTCAGAAGAGAAATGATCAAACCTGTGCTGCTTTTCTGAACACCAGCAAAAGCATTTGGAATCTTTGGCAAATGTCATGAACTGCTTGCATGTACTTCAACAATTAACAACTTATTTTCACAGTTAGTTTAAAGGCTGTTTGCTGGCAGAATGTCTAATGCTGCTGCTTTAGTTCCATGTTCAGACAGGTATCTGGGATACTGTACATTTGCTTGACTACTACAGAATGTCACTGTAGTTTCATTTTCTACTTTAAGTCTGCTGTAACCCAATAAACACACAACTGACTGTAAAACACATTTTCCAGTTTGAGTGGTATACATCAAAATTAGAAACAGGAACCTGAATTTAGAGAATGTAAACGGCCTGTGTGCTCATGTACAAAGAGACTTTGTACAAAATAGTGGCAATAGAGTCCAATAGGGGTCCAGTGAAGAGTTGAGCATATGATCAGCCTTAAAAATAAAATTGAAACACCATTTCTTGCCTATACCCAGTCTCATGATTTCACATAGTCAAGGTTGGTTTTTTTTTTTTTTTTACAACTTTGCTATTAGTTTTGGTTAATTTACAGTGTACCTTCCCTCATCTTTTTTATGTGATGCATTTGTTTAAGGCTATTTTTAATCATGCATTTGTGTAAGATTAAACACTAACTGGTAATTGAACACCATTTAATTTAAATTAAAGTGGCAATTCCAGAGCAAATCTTCTGGTCATCAACACACTGTCTGTGCAGCCTGCAATAATTTATATAGACAACACAAACATTTACCTTTTGAGGCACACAGTGTGTTTTAACTGCCAGATTCCTTTCAAGCTTTGGACATTAAAAAGCCAGAGATCCATAAAATTGTCGAAATAAACACTGAAACATTTTTTGAAGTACCTCAAAAACAGGTCTGCATAAGTTTCTGTTATAGCTTTCACTATCCTGGAACTGATGGCCGTCTCATGACGTTTAACTGAAAGCAACACAACTTCCAGTGACCTATCACATTTTGTGCTTCTACTTCTCTGGGCTGCTTTTTTGTGTACTTGTATGGGAACTACAGTTAATGTTGGCACCATTTTATCTGTAGGTTGCAGATATTTCTGCATCTTCAGAGACTTTGTGTACATTGTTCAAAGGCATTTTAAAAATGTAGGAAGGAGAATATATAATGTTTGTATATGAAGCTGAATTGAGTTGACAGAAGATTAATAAATAGTATAAAAAATTGTTGAAGTTATATTTCAATTGGGTGGCATGGTGATGCAGTGGTTAGTGCTGTCCAGGGTCAAGCCTTTGGGTGTAGAGTTTGCATGTTCTCCCTATACCTGCGTGGGTTCTCTCCGGATACTGCAGCATCATCCCACAGTCCAAAGACAGGCTGCTTAGGTTGATTGGTGACTCTAAAGTGCCTCTAGGAGTGATTGTGAGTGTGTGTGGTTGTTTGTCTGTCAGCCCTGTGATAGACTGGGGACCTGTCCAGGGTGGACCCCACCTCTCACCCAATGTCAGGTGGGGTTGGCTCCAGTACCCATGTGACCCTCCTCAGGATAAGCAGTATAGATAATGGATGGGTGTAAAACAAGACATCTGAAATGTGGCGAGTTGCAGTTCTTTGTTCTTTTGAGTTTGGATTGTCATCAGACCAAACAAGCCAACCATTTCCTGAAACTTACAGAACAAGTGATTAATCAATAAAATAAATGGAAGAATTTTAATGAAAACAGCATCAGTTCTAAAGTGTATATTGTACATACACTGTACATGGTCACATCACAAGATGCAATTAGAACATGATTGGTTGAGCTCTTCTGAGTCCTGAGAAAGGCTTTATCTAGGTGTTGTGTTGATGTGGATAGTGAGATATTCACACACTCAGCCTCATTTGTCCTTTTAATAAACAATGGTTATATTTACACAAAAAAAGCAAAATCATATCTTTACATCATTTAGTTTGAGATCAGATCTGATGGACTACAATCTGGCCTGGGCCACAGGCTTAAAAAATTTTTACACCCATGTAAGTAGAGATGTGGAAACAGTGCTCTCTAAATAGCTGTGTTCTGTGGGGTGATGGTTGAAAGCACACTCCCAGTGCGTTGGTAATTACAATGTAATTTGATACGGCATCACAGACAGAAGACAGGAACATGAGAATCGAATTCAACAGCATGTTGTTGGTGTGCAGCTGCAATGTCTCTTGTCTTGACAGTCCAATGACAGGGTGTGGAGAGAAGGTGGAGAAGGGACAAGAAAGAAGAGAAGAGGAGCTCAAGAATCATCACTTAAAAAGAACGATTTATTCATATTTTCTTGTGTCTGCTTCACATGGACATGTGCAGTAGTAGTAATGGCAAAGCTGGCTTCACTTGGTAAACTGAGCCTGCAGCCAGAGTCCGAGTCCTTCCGTGCCATGTTTTCCTGGTTAAAATGTGCTTCGTCAAATTTCTCCCCATTATATGCTTTAAAATTACATGTGAATTAATCAAGTCAGAAGAATGTGAAGAAGCAAACACTTGAACCCGAATCATCCACTGCACGACCCTTTGTTATTGGGAGCTAAGAACGGGGGTTGTAGTTATCTCCTCGTCTTCGCTCAGTCATCCCCCAGGCGGAAGCCTTGACCCCAGTTGTGACGTCCTCCCCCACCTTGTCCCGCCTGCTCCTGGGCAGCTGGTCTCCTGGTGGGAGGGACCCCAAAGCCCGACACCCCTCCCCTCCTGGTAGGGAAGAGCCGATACCTGGAGGGAAGAAAGAGATGAGGGGGAACTCGTTAAAAAAAAAAAAGATGACAATTCGCTACCTTATTCCTCATTTATGTAAAAAAAAAAATAGAAATTTAGTAGCTGTTTTTTATTAAACTAACGTATATATTTAGCACAGGTTTATTGTAGTTTTTATATTATTCTTTTGTAGTAATGGTATGCAGTACAGTATATTAACCAGGATGCACCATATTACCAAAACAAATTCCTTGCATGTGGAAGCATACTTGGCAATAAACCTGTTCTGATTCTGAAAAGCATTTTTGTAGTTCTAGCTTCAGATCTAGAGACAAGGTGGTACAAAAAATAGGTCATAAATAAATTAGAACAGCAACACAAAGCGGTCAGGCACATCAGTATGTTAATTTTGTGACTAGACAGGCTGCTGATCTTGGTATATATGTTAGTTTGTTGGGGTGCTAGGTTTTTCATATGTTGTCTGCTGGTTGTTGTTTGACACTGTGCATGGGTAACTACTCTAGTTTCCCCTCCCCCAAGTTCTAGTCAAATATCTAAAACACTTGTTTGGAAGTAAAACCAAAGTGAATACAAGTCAGTTTATTTCATTGTGACAGTGCACAGAGGAACAGCTGCATGAAGATGACTCTACAAGAGCCAGTTTCTCTGAAAGATAATGAACGCTTGAGGTAATAGTCTTAACTAGCAGCAAAACCTCTAAGTCCATTAAAATGAGAAGGGATGTGTATTATTGTTGATTAATTTGACTAAAATGCATTAGTTCCTCTTTCATACGTTACACAGCCTCACTTTAAAGCCATACTGCTGCCGTTAGCCACCATATGGCTATAGCAGCAAAACCCTCTAAATGTGCTGAATTGATCAAAGGTTGGTTTCATTTCTTATGAAGTCAGACTTCCACTGGCAAGAAAATTGATGTTTCCTCTTTCAAAGTTACACAATCTTGCTTTACATTTATGTATAACACACCCATGACATCCCTGAACCTGAGCAATGAAGCTGGTGAGGAATCAGTAATGAATGAAAGGAATGAAAGGAAACCCATGCTGGGAAAAATACAAGATAAAAACTTACAAGAACTCTGGTGTGGTGAGGAAGGAGCGTCCTCCCAGGTCCATGGGGTATTTGAACATGAGGAAGAAGTAAAGGTGACCCACCAGGTTCCCTGTCAGTTCATTCACAAAACTGCACAGTATCGGCAAAGAGAAGGTGATTAATCCACATTATACAGTGTTGGGGTAACATGTGCACCTTCAGTTTAACACCTTACTTTGGAATATAGACAAAACATTCTTTACTTTTATAGCACAGTGTGTTAAAAACATAACTATTGAACAGTCTTCAATTTAACTAATTAACAATAGTTACTTACGAGCCTCCAATGATGAAGTTGAAGGCCAGGATGACCCAAGGCAGATAATGTGCCTAGGACAGAGCAACAGAAAATATTAGGAATTTTGGAATATCAATATTGGGATTGTCTTCACAATGAGTAACAGAAAGGCTACACATTCAGGTAGTTACGTGGAATACTGACCATATTATGACAGTCCATTCCATAAAACCATGTTATTTTATGTGTTCTGATCTTACTGTGAAATTCAGTCTTTTATACCCTTAACAACAGTTTACTGTGTAGAAATGTACAATGTCTGATCGAGCTGAAACAGTAACAAGTGTTGGTGATCAAACATGAGGCACCTTGAATCGTGTTCCAAACCAGAAGGACACGACCATGTCTTTGTTGAACTGAGCCCAGACGTACAACACCGACATGATCAACGGGATCATCAGCAGCTGCAAACATAAACAGTATGAGTCCAGGCCAAAAAGCATCAACAACACAGCTGTGTACGGTGTTTTCCCCAATCATTTTAAAGGTTTATTAAAATCCTGGTCACATCAGGATTTGAGGGCTGTATCACAAGGAAGGTTTAGTGGGCTAGCCAGCCATCTCTGGGTATCACTAGCACTTTTGTTATCACTGAAAACAACTGATTCCTATAGGACCCTGACATGGGGAAAAATACATAAGGAAAATAAGAAACTGTTGCTTACATTTCCTCTATGTTTTGGCAGCAGAACCATTGTTAATATACTTTATCACTTATTCATGCACCAAAATGTCCCAGTGGAAAATAAACAGACAATCACTTGACTTTAAATAACTTCTGAACTAGTTAAGGAAACCAAGCATATTTCACACTTAGACCTTTGCTTTTATTATAGCTGGACAGGATAAGCCTGAGCTCACCGGTAACCGTTTTCAATATGCACTACCAGTTATGCTGGATCACCAGTGTTAGATGTAGTAACGCCAGATGACCCAAAGAGGGCACAAGCTGAAATTGCCTCTTGGTACACACTCCTGGTTTGCAAGTTTAATGCTATAAAGCATCAGATCACAAAAGCAGTAATTGCAAACAATTGCTATATGCTTTATATACTAAACAGTGGCCACAATTTCATGTTGTGGTAAAAAAAAAAAAAACACAGGACTCTTACCCGCATGTTCATCAGCAGCCCAGTTATCTACAGCTAGAGAGTCAAGGACTACAATCTCGTGGGTCTTAAGATTACTTCAGCTGGTGACTAGGTTTCCCTTGAGCAAGGCATATGACCTTGGCAGGTCAGACCTCCCACACCTCAATTATTCACCCACCCACTGCCACAGTGTGCCTGAGGTGCCAAAAACTCAACTCTTTTTATTAAAGCCAAACACAATCTTTGTCCACATTTTTTTCTTATTATAAAAATATGTCTGTGGAAATCCAGACAAGCTGACAATCAGAACTGAACTCCTGAGAGAAGGACAGTGTGAGATGTCAGCCGGGCCACAGTGCTGGTGCTTGCATGTGACCTAGACTAGGTTTCTGCTCTGCAGAGGTAGACTGACACTGGGCCACTGGCACAGAGCCACCCTGACATGGCACAGTGCTGCCCAGAGACAGATTGGGGTACAAAAAAGACAGATGAGAGTGAAATGCTGAGGGGAAAGAAACCAACAAAGTGTCTAAATTAATGGTAGAGTGGAACATGTAGAAGGAATGATTTGATTACAGTTTAACAAGTGTTAAAAAGTGGTTGGTGTTTTGCAATGCCAGTTAAAGGATACAATAATGCAGATCCAGTTGAAGAAAAGCATGAAGATATAGTCTGCAGGTCTGCCATCAAACGCCCCTAGACAACAATGTCAAGAAATAAAGATTAGCACGACAGAAAGAGAAGTTAAAATGGCTGCATATGTGTAAATCACTGAGGCCACTAGTCTCACCTGTCTCTAACCGAGTGGAGTAGTGGTAGAGGAAATACAGGTTGACCAGATACAGAAACCCAGTATTAGGGGTTACTGGGAAATACAAGGTGGCTGTCACTGGTCTCCAGAGCTGAAACAAACAGAACAACCATTCATCAAACATAAATGCAGTAAGATGTCAACATAGCTGTGCTTAAGTACAGATCTTCTTCAAGGCTTAGCTTGGAACACATTAACTCTGGCAACGACAGCTGGTATTCCTCTGCAGAGTCTAGTGGTACCTTGCAATTAGATTCAAAAATTTTATTTGATGATAGCAGAAGTCAGAGCAACACGGTGTTTAAGATGCGATGAAAGGATAAAGCATCTTCTGTGTTTAAATTGCTAACTATTGAAAACATCACAAGATGCAATTAGAACATACAGCACTGAACTGAAGTGGAACAAATTACCACTGTATAATAAAATCTGAGTGATTATGTAGTCAATTAATAAAAAAGGAAAGAAATTAAACTATTTAAGTTACTGAATTAAATGATTCAACTGTTTAATGAAGCAGAAACTTCAAACACTCTGGTTCTAGCATCTACAGTATGAGGATTTTGTACTTTTTGTGTTTTATAGCTGTTATAATTAAAAGCCTTTGGGTTTTGGACTGTTGGTTGGACAAAAAAAGTATGAAAATGCCACTATGAGCTGTAGAGGTTTATGATGGGTATTTTTTTCCTCTATGTTTTTGACATTTTACATATTAATAAAAGGTCAGCAGTACAGCTGAATAAATACAAAATGTCAACAGGAAAAAAAAAATCAAACTTTATATATAGGCCTACTGCATATATTGCATATTAACAACAAAATGAATCACAGTTTTAATCACTATGTTCCCTTAAGAGTAATAGCCTACAGCAGGTCACAAGGTAGAGATACAATTTCCTATTCGGTTGTCTAGTGACAAAATAACCCCAAGTAAATAGAATAATACTATAATAAGCTATCTAGCTGCAGCTCTGTGTGTTCCTCAGCGATATCAGTAACCTGTTATTACTGAAATACAATTACTCAAAGTAAAAGTACCGCAAACTCGTACAGTACTTCAGTGCGTGTATTTGGTTACTCTCCACCACTGCAAGTAACCAGCTCAATTCTGGCTATTTTAGCCTTTGAATTTAGTCTTTCAGGATACACATTTCCTGCCCGTCACCTAAACTGTAAAACCTCAGCGTTTGCCTGATGGGTGAAGCTTGCTGTGGCGGAGTAACACGTAGTAAAACACTGCCTTGTGGGGTTTTTCAGAGCAGGAAAGTACCTTTAGTACTACACTTATGTTATATTTACACCTTGTGTCAGTGTTGCTAAATTAAGTAGCATTTGACAGTATCCGGAAGTCCTAACCTTCTACGTCTCGGCCTCTCATTGGCTGTCACACTGCTCAGGCCTGCTCAGAGAGTGCTGTTAGCCACCTGCTAACTAACCGACCAAATCCACAACACAACAACAACATCATTTATCGATCACTCCAACATACTCAGGTGAACTGGACCAATAGAAACTTACATGAAATCTATAAAACACCAATTCCGAGTCCAGCATGAGGTGTCTGAAATCAACCAATCCTAGTTTCCCAATAAGGGGAACAGCAATGGAGGCAGCAAACCAGCACCGGGTGATGAAAGGGATGCTTCTGAACCAGTCCCCGATATCTGACATATTTTCCTATGATTACTGCCCACTTATAATCCTAAAACAAGAACTATTCTTTGAAAATGAAACAGTATCCTCAAAAAAACAGCAAGCCCCTCGCCGTTCTTATATCGCAACCGCTCCACTGCCAAAGTTTACATGACGTGGCTAATCACAGGGAGCTAGCTTTACATTTGACGACGTTACTGAGCTCAGAACAGACACTTCCGTTGCAGATTTTCAAAGTAAACCCAAAGGGACTACTACCGCTGCCGCTAATACCACCAATTAACGATAATGAAAACTTCTTTTTTATCGATTTAAGGCATAGAAACCAACAAATGCATTGAAACAATGGAAAAATAGCCAGACATTTAAAAACAACGACAAATTAAATAGTTTATGAAATAGGAACTATTTCTCATTAACATAACAATTAAATACAATGGACTTGCTGCATATAGCATACATAATGTTAGAAGAAGTGAATGGCTCATATTCTATTTATTAGAGAAAAAACAAGAGGAATTAGTAGTTCTTTTGAAGGACAGGACAGATGTGGTACAGTTACTCAAAATATAAAATCAATTCAAACAACTTGTTGCTAGGAAAATGGGTACTTTCATGAAATGATACCCCCATTGTTAATTGGTTTTAGATATATGTATTTAGAGTAGAGTATTTCTGTTAAAGTAATGTAGAGGTCACTTTATATTAAATAATAAATGCTAGAAAATAATATCTAGAGTACATGGAAATGTGCTTTTTTCTCTGGGCTGGGCTTATTCTTTTCAGACTATTACTCATTAAAATCATCATTATGTTCTTTATACTATGTCGACAATCTTCACTAACTTGACAGTTGATGCAGACAACACTAATGAAGGTTTATCTATTTCTCTTTTTTTTCCCCAGTCCTGGTCTTGTACATACATACAGTACATACCTACAGTACATACCTACATTCGTTCATTCATTTATTTATTTATTTATAAAACGTGATTGTTTCACGCTCTTAGTTTGAAAGACAAATGCCAGAACAGGATGTCTTTAAATGATCTAACACCAACTTCTGTAGGGTTTTGCTTTGCATTATAATAGTACATCCTGTAAAATTTGCAAAGGCTCCCACTTGACCATCCAGATGCAGCCAGCACCAGAAAGAGGCGTGCCAGACACAACAGTTTACTTGTCCTAAACTGCAGACATCTGTGAAGAGTGTTGGTTGAGTCAATGAAGCAGGTGGGCAAATAGGAATATAATTTGGATGTTAGAGAGGGGAGGCTTAAATGTAAATAGTAAGAAGCCTAATAATTACTTAAAATAGAGCCTAATAAAACCTCATGTTCTCACTTCACTTCATAGTTCAGAGAAAATAGATATCTGAGGTTTTACTTTTGTGGGGCCAATTTTGAATTAAAAGATATGGAAATATTTGCTCAGCTAATTCAATACTGCAAATCCTCATACAAAACAATGATGCAATCAGAAAAGAGATTTATGACAGCATCTGCAGTTGGAACATTGTTCTGAAGACACTGTTACACGCACACTGACTAAACAAATATAGAAGACTGGCAGGAGGAAGCGCTTCTGTCACAGCAAGCACTATCTCAGTTAATGGCCTGCTTGAAATTGGTGGGGATTGAGGAGGTTGTTCTGCATTGGTTAAAAACAGCACACTCTAGTGTCTCAAAAAGTGAACAGGAGAAGACATAAATCTGAAGTTATTGATTCTGAATTGTCCAAAAATGTTTTTCCCTTCAAGCTAGAAAGATTAGAGTTGGAAAAACATAATTTGGAGTCAACTGTTACACTTAATTTATTCTGTAAATATGTCCAATCTGCTCATCAGAGCTCATCCCTTGTTATAGATGTGGGAGAAGAACACTAGCATGAAGATGAGGGACACTGAGCTTGAAGCGAGAGAACATCCTTCCTCAGTTTCAATGAGTCACACTTGACACAGAAATAGCTTGGAAGGAAGATGGGGAATATGCTGGCCACAAATCATGTAGGCACATTTTTCTGCCCATAAGCTTCTGACCTATTTTCCTAAAAATCTGCAAATACCATAGTCCATGTTTATTTAAAAGTATATTATAAAAATGCTAAATATGCATATTTGAGCTAAACAATTAAAAGGCAACTGTGACATATTCCTTTTTTTTTTCTTAGCAAGATGGGGGCAGTTTACATTCTGCAGTTAAATTCATATAAATCCCTCCATATATACGGGTAGTATTATATCAGTTAATCCCGCATTTTTAATAATTCTATTTGTGATATCTTAAAATTTGAAAACCTTTAGACCAAATAATGAAAATGAAGCAAAGAAATGAAGACCCAAATGATTTTTCTGGCAGTGTGAAGAGAGCAGTGAAACAGCATTTAGACCTTCATGTCAGGAAGATTTATGGAAAATATAGGCCTCGTTGAGCTTTGAACTACAACTCCATTTATGTTCCACCAGACTCTCTAAGAGAATCCAAATAAACAAGCTATTCTTTGTCTGATAGAGAAACTGTTTTAGAGAACAAGAAGCAGAAAAAAAAGAACTACAACTCCCATAGTGCACGCCTCGGTTTACCTTTTACGTTGTCTTTGTGCGACAAATTAACCGTCCTCAAAACAAAAAACTGTCCAGAAACTGCAGGTTGAGGAAAACTGCTCATGTCAGGGACCGCTGAGCTCCGAACAACACTAAATATTGCTGAGTTTTTATCGCTATTTATTTATTTTTTTTACAGTTTCTCTGATTGTAGCCATTGTTTTGTAGCTAAATTTCCTGAATGTTGCGTTTTCGAATTTCGCGCTATTTGCTCCGCTTGTAAAGAGATTAGCCGGCTAACCCGTTAGGTAGCCATGATACAGTCACGATAAGTTAAGTTAAGGGTATTTTGTCTAAATGTATGGTCTGAGTTTTTACATACGTCGTCACAATGGAAGTTACGGACATCGGAAACAAGGAAGAGGGGAAAGTCTGGCATCGAAAACCAACACCAGGCAAAGGGTAGGTTTAAAGCTCACATTAAATGATGTTTTATGATGCTAAATGATATTTAATAAGTGCTTATGTTCCCGTGATGCAGCGGGAGTGACAGATTTGTCAGCATTATTTTGAAAAATGGTCCTGTGACATGTACCTCGGACCATAAATTATTATTGTAAGTCGACACGTGTTGCATTCTACCAGTACCAACTCTAGTGCACACACTTTAACCTTAGGTGGCAGACCCTAAGTGTGGATAGGTCACTATCTACTAAGCTCCCAAAGGATGCATCATTAGATTTATGTTACTGTGGCCTAACTGTGCGATTGGTAGAAGATTTACCTTCTTTTTTTTTAACAAAAAAAAGTATAACTTGGTCCTTTTTCCTTTATCCTTGCACTATGTCTAGGAGGATAAAGATTGAACATAAGAAATAAATATATAGTTTCTGTTTTACCACACACTTTGAGAACCACCACCTGTCTAGAAGTGTGCATACTGTCTAATCTACCTATTTCTCAAAGGCATCTTAAAGGTATCCTTTGTCTCAGTTAGGTATATAGGCTAAGGCAACCTTGGTCTCAAAATGCCTTTGGGAAACAGGGTCCAGCCAATGAAGAAATTAAATATCAGAATACATTCTAGTCAGTACCTGGGTGTTGACATTGTGATAATTTTAATAATAATAATTGAGCATGAGAGAAACTGTTGCAGGAAAAAGCATAACATTCTTAAGCAACTACTACTATTTTTAGGGTAAATTATAATCACTAGAAAGCAGTGGTGATTTACTGGAATGAATTGATTTTAGTCTACTGTCAAAGTGTGTGTTTCCCCTTTAATGTGTGTTGCTTGTCTTCCTCAGTGTGTTAGTGACGGTGGTCCGCACTGCTCAGCGAGCCAAGATTGTGCGCTTTCTCCATGTGACCTTTGACACCACAGGAGATTCCTTCCTGGCTGGGGACCATCATGGCAACATCTATGTCTTTGACATCAGTAGAAACAGGTGATTGACTATGCTCAAATCTCCCAAAGTAATTTAGTGTTTTAAATGTTTGCTTATCACTTGTGATATATTTCATTTCAAAGACTGGCTATATTAAAATTATGACTTTCACGTGTTTATGGTCTGCTTACTGTCAATACTTTTCAGCATTTTGTCTTAAAAATAGTTAAAGCTGAAAAGTTTCCTTTCTTTTATGACTGTGCTCAGTTTAGACAGAAAGAGGCACAAACATATCTACACAGACGTGGCAGTCATTAAGACATAAATGGGTCCCTTATAATTTAGAGTAGACCGTGACCTCAAAGTGGCCTCAGAGTGGCCTCAGAGTGCTTCCGCTGTGGTCTGATCTTATGCTTTTATTGCCTCTTTCTTGCAATCAGATTTCGTCTGGTGCAGAAGACAGGGCAGGCCTGCACTGCTCTGGCTTTCAGCCTTCGCAGGACCACAGAGTTCCTTGTGGCCCTTGCTGACTACACCATCAAGTGCTTTGACAAAGGTAGGATGGACATATCCACATAACATGTTGTTTTGTTTAGGTTATCTAGACACAAGTTCATTTGGAATGAAAGTTCTTCTTTTGATCTCTAATTCTCTTGTGTTTCATTCTAATTATATTCTTAATTTTGTGTCAGAGAATTGGCAGTCAACATTATCTTTCTTTCAGGTACAGAGTAGTTGGTTAGTTTAACGTAGACCCAAGAGGGAGTGTGTCATCCACTTCTGTCTGTCACTCGCCAGCCACAGTTAACGACAGAATAAATAAACTTGTTCTCTACTACTTGTCTTCCGTTTTTTTTGGACAGACACAAAGCAGCTGGTGAGTTGGATGCGAGGTCACGAGGGAGCAATTTCATCCATTTCTGTGCACAGTTCAGGCCGCTATGCTGTCACCACATCCTCAGACACGGCTCAGCTCTGGGACCTGGACACCTTTCAGAGGAAGAGGAAGCTGAACATCAGGCAGGCAGTTGGCATACAGAGGGTAAACATGCAGACATACTAAGTAAAAACAGCATTTACAAATAGTATCATTTATCACTTTATGAATGTAGTCATTCATCTGAGGAAGATTGTCAGTGTTTTTCTCAAATTTGGGATTTCGTTAATACTATATTTCTAGTAATTTTATGGCCATTTTTGTGTTGCAGGTGTTTTTTCTGCCTCTCAGTAACACCATCCTCAGCTGTTTCAGTGATGACTCTATCTTTGCTTGGGAGAGCGACACACTATTCTGCAAATACCAGCTCCCTGTCCCTGACTGTGGACCCAAAATTTCCTACAAGTCCTTTGCTGTCACGCGGTGAGTATTTCACATTCTGTGCAGCCGTTTATGTGCATAGCTCCAATAAAATAGACATGAAGCTAAAATAGGCTTCAGGTTACGGCTACCTGTAAAACAGGAGTGATATGACAGCCTACACACAACCAGTGTAGACAGCTGGAGTGATTAATATAGTGCTTATCGGTTGTGTGATACATCTCACAAAAACGGAGTCTGTAGTTTTATATATGGATTGGATTTGGATGGACTCCGTTCTGGCCAATACCGATCCTGTGAAAAATGCCCAAATACCGATGCCCAGTATCAGACCGGGACGTCTCTACTTCTTACTTTCGATAAGCAGATCAGGGCTGTGGTTAAGACCAGCTTCTTTTATTTAAGACTTTTAACCAGGGCGAAACCTTTTTTGTCACACGCCGATTTAGAGAAAGCCATCCATGCTTTTATACCTTCATGGTTGGACTACTGTAACGCACTTTATGTTGGGGTATCGCAGGCTTTGCTTCGTAAACTTCAGTTAGTCCAAAATGCAGCAGCCCGGCTGTTATCTAACTCTCCTAGGTATGTCCACATCACCCCGGTTCTTCGCTCCTTGCACTGGCTTCCAATTCAGTATAGAGTTAAATTTAAGACGTTGGTGTTTGTTTTTAAGGCTATCCATGGCCTCGCTCTGCCGTACCTGTCTGACCTGCTGTCGATTTATGTGCCGCGTAGAGCTCTTCGCTCCTCAGAACACTTGTCCCTAGCTGTCCCACGTTCTCGATATAAAAAAATGGGGCGACCAGTCGTTTGCGGTATATGGCCCCAGGCTTTGGAATTCTCTTCCCTTAGAGGTACGGTCTAAGACTGAGCTAGTGGTCTTCAAGTCGGCCCTAAAAACGTATTTTTTTAAACAGGCTTTTGATGTTTAGGCCGTTTTCACCTCCCTCGCTGCTTAATTTGTTGTTGTGTTACCTCCATCTCTGTATGGAATTTTTATAACTTTGTTTTGTATACCTGTGTTTTTACTCTGTTTATGTCTTTTACTGCTTTGGTATGGCCTAATATTTTTTAGTATGGTTTTACTTGGCGATGTTTGTTTTACTGTGCAGCACTCTGGGCTCTCAAGTTGTAGGGTGCAGTGTATTTCTTCATGACTATATTACCCTACACTTCATAATCTCATAAGCACAATAAAAGTGGATCACAAGGCTTCACACTGATATACTTGACTTGTGTTGACAGTGATGGTAAGAGCCTTGTAGCAGGCGGGCGCTCCAACTTGCTTCACTTGTGGTGTCTGGACAGTAAACAGCTTGTAAGGGTGATTCAGATGCCCACACAGGTCCGAACTGTCAGACAGCTGGAATTCCTGCCTGACAGTTTTGACGGAGGAGCCAGCCAGGTATGCAGATGCCAGGACCTGAGGACTGAGATTTGTTGTTGGTTTGTGTGTTTCTGCTCACATGCTTCATTTGTTTCCGTTTTAGTTTGTATTAAGTTAAATGCCGTTTGTTTGAAAGAATCCCAGACCTGGTCTATGTATTTGTGCATGTTTCGTGCCTATAGTCTGTTTTAATACTTGTCTATATGTGTATGTGTTTAACATGTTAACTCATCTGCAGTGTAAATCTGTTGATGCCTTTTTTGTCTCTTTAGACACTTGGTGTATTGAGCCAGGATGGCGTGATGCGTTTCATCAACATTCACACCTGCAAGTTGCTTTTTCACATGGGTTCCCATGACGACGCCATCACCACAGTGGCGGTCAGCCCTAATGGCAGACATATTGTGGCTGTTATGGATAATGGTAGCATCAATGTCTACAGTGTCCAGAGTCTCACACAGGAATTAAACAAGGTAACAGGCAGTTGTGATAACTAGTGTTGGAAAGATGAAGCCTCATTGAAGCATCGAAGCTTTCCCACCATTTGAAGCAAAAAACAATTCATGTGTGGAAGCTTCAAGTGACCACGAAACCGCCTAAGTTACCACAGAAATTTGTACACTCAGTTTATGAATTAATGACTTAAACTTTTCACAAGTGTGTGACTACATGTCAGTGTATGTGTTTACCTTCAGAAATGTGAGTAATGTGTGTCCAGTGCAGTGAATTGTGTAGCATTATGGTTATTTGTAATAGGCTATAACAAAATGAGCACAGCCTGTTTTGTAAAGCTGTCCCTAACACATGTGTGAGAAGTTTCTTTGACTGTACAGACATGGGAGGTGGAAAAATTGTGACTAGGCAGGGAAGGCGGAAAGTAGTCCTTTTTTTTATTTATTTAACAGCTGTTTGTTCTAGGGTCTTTGGGCTCAATCTGTTTTTTTAACACATTATTTCTGCAGCTTTAGAAAAAAAAAAGTTCACATGGAGCAGGGCTACATAAATAGCCTATCTGAGCAACAGGTGGTACAGATGATGGGCGCACAGTTTTGTGTGGTTCAGTAGGAGAAAAATGAAACACCAGCTACATTTCACTCAAACAACACAACATACATTATACATACAGGCATGCAAACTATTTAAATATGATTAAAGGAAAACAAGTATTACAACAACTGATGACAGCACATACAGTATGCATGCGATTTACTTAGTTAAAAATTAAATCGAAATGTTCCTATAATTTCTGTTTTGGTGCTGATGACGTGGCAATATGATGTAAATAATTGCACTGCAATGATCTTCAACACTCCAAACCCACGAAGTTTGTATTCCCCATCCTCTCCTTTTTTAATTCAAACATCCCACCAAGCGCTTTTTGTACCTGTAGCCCAGATGAAGCTTCAAACGTCATTGGTGATGTCACATTTTCTAAACGATACAAGCCATACACAAAGGTTCACTTTCCGCTGCCCCGAATACTCGACACATGCTTCGAAACCTTCCAGCGCTAGTGATAACAGCACAATGATGTGCAAGGTGGCATACGTTATTTTATCTGTTGACAATGACTGTTCTTCTGTATGTTTTGGTGTGTTCATGTTGTGTGTGTGTGTGTCTCTCTGGCTCTCACCCAGCCTCCTCCCTCCCAGGTGGCAGTCATCTCAGGAGGTGAAGCTAATCAGGACTTGTCAAACCTGAAGGTCAAGGTCAGATCAGAGGTAGTTCAGAGACCGGCCAAGAGTTCAGGCAGGCGGACTCAAGTGAAGATACTTAGACCTCCTCCTGGGTCTGCAGCTGAGGATAAAGAGGTAGGAACAACACACCCCAGTGTCCTAACACATTGTTTTTTGTAATAAACATGATTTCTTTTTAAGTGTTCAAAGTGTTTGTTTTTCCCACTGCACATTTGTTCACTTTATTTATGAGTGATGTAAAGTTTGGTTGTCCTAGCAGTCACCTTTCCTTTGGGGATGCAATGAGACTGTCATTTGATACATACGTGTTATGGTTTTGTGTTTGCCTTTGAGTAGAATGAGCTACCAGCTGGTCTGAATAAGAAGAGACTGGTGGCCCTGCTGAAGGCGTTTGGAGAATATCCTACTAAGTACAGGTAAAAATTACTTTCATAGGAGGAAGCTTCATATCTGATAACCAAAAAATACATTCCACTTTTTTAGCACTTTTGAAATGTGTTTTAAAGATTTACATGATATATTTGTGTGTGTGTGTTATTCAGGATGTTTGTGTGGCGGTCTTTGCTGTGTCTCCCAGAGAACTATGCGGCATACAGCAGTCTGAGTGATAAAGGCCTGCACTCAGCCTATGCCACTCTGAATGATAAGTACCCCATCAAAAGTCACAAGCTACAGAGGGGGCTGCAGAGGTCCGTACACTGACACACACATGCTGTATTTCTCAAACACACTTTGATCACAGGATTTTGACAGATTTAAGGTTTGTAACAATACAACCCTTCTGTTTTTCATCCACAGGGTCCTGTCTGCATTGGCTCACTGGGCAGCCATCTTTGGAGAGGTGGAGTACCTTCCCTTGGTGGCCTTCCCTTTTGTCAAGCTCTTCCCGAACAATCCTATGCTCTGCTTTGAGGTGGTGGCCACTGTCATAGGTACTTGTTGATTTTAATTATGGCATGTCATTTCCTCAGTGAATACGTCACTGTGACTCATTACAGTATTGCTTCATTAAAGCTTTGAAAATAGTTTAACTACATTTTTCATTGCTGGTATTATTTAGGTCTCTGAATGTTGAGGCATTATCAGCTTATTAACAATTTAATGAATGTTCTAGCTGAAGTTTTATTGATTTAGATGCTGTTTTACAGTGAACTGGTGTGAGCACTGGTTCGAGTACTTCCCCAACCCTCCTCTGAACATCCTGAACATGGCAGAGAACGTTCTGGCTCATCATGACAAGGAGCTGCTGCAGCACCTGGTGGACTGTGGCATCACTTCACAGGTAGCAGCACCACACAGCTGGAATAGCAGGGTGGACTAGCGGTGAAGTTGCCCCAGTTTATTTAGCATCTCTGTGTTCTCCCAGCTATATGTGTGGCCACTGCTGGAGACCTTGTTCTCAGAGGTTTTGACTCGTGACGAGTGGCTCCGACTCTTCGACAACATTTTCTCCAACCATCCATCATTCCTGATCATGGCCTGTGTGGCCTACGTCACCTGCTGCCGTGAGCCTTTGCTGCTGTGCTCCCAGAAACAGGACTTTGAGGTAACTACACAACCCTCTTCTCTGCTCGTCTCTTAAAAATAAACATCGTCCAATAGTCTGTCAGTAAACCCTTCAGCCTCTTCTCCTCCCTTCAGATTTCCCTCATCCCCTTTACACTCTGTTTCAGTACTTTTTTCACCATCGTAACAACCTGGACGTGGGAGCCATGATAAAGGAGGCCTACCGGCTGATGAGCAACACACCAGATGACATCCATCCCACCGCTATGTTGTCTGACTTTACAGCACTGACCAAGGGCCAGTACCCTGTGTTCAACCACTACCCAGAATTCATAGTGGAATATCAAAGCCGGGAGAGGGAGAAGATAAGATTGCAGGAGATGGAGTATCTCCGCGAGAGGTGAGATAACAGAGTATTAGATAAGTCATAATAACAGAGGCAGAAATTCGTATTTGTTAGGCTAAAATTCATGTTGGGTAGTAAAATTTAGAGTGCGTGGTGAGTGTAGATGCATGAGATGTAAGTGTATATGTGTTGTGTAAACAGGCAGGAGGTAACAGCGCTTCGTGCAGATTTTGTGCGTCGCCAGGCTGAAGAGGAGGCCTATTACACTCAACAGGTAGATGGTTTTTTTCAGTTTTCCAAAACTGGTTTAAAGCAAAGATTTCATGGTAATGTATATAGTTGTCTTGCCTATATAATTTATGTGCATATGAAACACAAGCATGTGATCTAAATTAAGTAAAGTGAATTGCTGTACTTTGATATGAGCACAGGAGCTGCTGCAGAGGGCAGAGGAGCAGCGCAGAAACATCCTGGCACAAGAAGAGGAGAAACTGACACAGCAGAGGGCAAAGTAAAAGCACAAGACATACACAGTTCCACAGTTCAGTTATGGGGAAAACAAAAGATTGTGATTTCTCAGAATTGGTTGCTCATACTGCTACATGATTTGATTTGATTTGATTTATTCTTTCAAGCATGTAAAGACAGTTGATATGTCAACACACATAATTTTACACATATCCAACAAACACATAATCCAATATCAATTTGCTTATACCTAGTACATGGTTGAATGGAGTAGGAAGAAGTCAGACTTATCCAGTCCTACCCCATGACATCATCTTACCATCATTGGTTTGCAAGCAGTATCTCTACATAAATAATTATCTTCTACACCACACAAGTAATATACTAAAGAATTATTACAAAGTGTTAACATTCATACACCACACCCACAATGTTCCATCTAATTAATCATTAAGCCTGTTCTTGCATATATCTTGATTGACACATACCTTTATATTTATGTTTAAACTCGTCAATTCTATTACTATTTTTTATGTCCACACTTAAATTATTCCATAGTTTTACCCCACTTATAGAAATACAAAATCTTTTTTTGGTTGTACGTATACCATGAATTTTTTAATTTAACTGGCCCCTTAAATTGTATCCCCTTCCCTTTCATTAAATAGTTTTTGAATTCCACCAGGTAATAAATTGTTCCTGGCTTTATACATAAACACTGTAGTCTTATATCCCACTAAAACGAAAAAATTTTAACAATTTAGACTGTATGAAAGCTCCATTGGTGTGATCCCTATATCCCATCTTATGCACACTTCTTATCGCTCTTTTTTGTAATATATACAATAGTTGAAGTGAACTTTTGTATGTATTTCCCCAGTTTTCAACGCCATACTCTAAGTATGGTAGAATCAATGAGGAATACAAAATGCGTAGTGCTTTCCCATCCAAAATATATCTAACCCTTGCCAATATCGATATATTTTTTGCTATTTTGTTCTGAACATATCTGATATGAGATTTCCAGGAGAATTTGTCATCAACTATGACACCTAGAAATTTAATTTCATATACTCGTTCTATATTAGCTCCCCCAATTTTCAATTGAGGTTCATTATCTAGTCTGTGATTCCCAAATACCATAAATTTAGTTTTATCATGCTCTGCAGGTTAGCAGCCATGAAGAGAGAGCTGAAGGTGAAGGAGTTACAGTTGCTGGATGCAGCTAGAAGACGCTTTCTCAGACACCAACAGGACCTGAGAGCCTCTCAGATACAAAGGCTAGACCAGGAGATCAGTAGAAAGGTGCCACAGAGACCTCTGGTCTTACATAATATGTCGCTGATAGATTGTTAATGCCTGTTTGTTTAGTCATTTATTTTAGGTATTTCATGATGGGAACAGACAGTATGCAAGAAAAAAGTTCACACACTGTGCAAACCGTTCAATCTTGCTTTTTGCCTTTAAGCTGTTATTGGTTCAGCACCTGTGCATGTCCTATGCCCTTTTGCTGTAATTAAAACAATACTGTTAGAGGATAATCCTGACCACACCAAAAACTATAACTGTTAATTTAAAGCTCAAATTAGACAGCAAGTGCAGATTTAGCTGCAAGCAACATTTAGTCATCATCTGTTTATCTCCAGTATTTAAAAACCTTTTCTCCATGTGTTTACAGCACAAGCTTATGATTGCTCTCCATGAGTGGCTGTGGCATCACTTTTAGTTTTGTTTTGGTTGGTGAAGCAGAATTGAATCACATTAGAAATCTAGGGATGTACTATAACCTCAGCTAAGTCTGTATATTGTCAGGCCGGTTTCATTGGTTTCCTACTAGAGATGCATCTAATAGCTTCCACGTTCTGCCACAGATGGATCTGCGAGAGCGAGAAACAGCCGCAGCAGTCCAGGATCTGGAGGTCAGACAGATGGAGCTGGAGGCTCAGAGGAGACGACTTGAACAGGTGACAGACACCTCACAGTCAACGTCCCTGCCTCCTCCTCCTCCTCTTTTTGTGCCTTGTGTTTGCTTTTGTACCTCAGTAATATCTCCTAGCAACCTAGACCGTCATTTGGAACTGTAATACTATCAAGCTTTAAAATTTAAGACCCCCTTTTTTACTGAGCATTTAATAAATTAAAACATTTGACAGTATAAACAGGTAAGTCAGCAAGAAACACAACATACCTCCCCCTGCAGTTGCAGCCCTCATAGAGACACAATGTTGACCAGTGACAAAAGCAGTTGCTGTAATTGGCACCCTGAGGTTTTTGCTATGCCCTTCTGCTGATATTATAATCTAATTTCTGATCTCTACATTGGCTCCATTACGAGGGACTTTCCACCTTGTAATGACATCACTGCCTGTTTGTCGATTGTGGTAATGCTTCTTTTTCCATAACCGTTTCCTTCAGCATTTGTGGAAGGAGCAGGAGCACATGGGCCGGGAGGTTGAGGAGGAAGTGGAGTTGAGGATGAGAGAGGCAGAAAGAGAGGAGGACAACTACACAGAGCTGGTGCACAGCACAGAGACAAACCTGCAGGTTAGTGACACATTCCAGTATGGAGCCTGTGTGATAACTGACATATGTCAGCACATGATCTCAATGCACTCCTACATTTATCCAGACTCAAATCTTTGGCACAGGTACCTGTGATTTCCTCCTCTTGTATCCGTTAACTCTCTCTACACTCTCAGGCCCTGGAGGAGTCCCTGGCGGAAGCGTGCCAGCTGGGCTTGGAGTCGGACTGGCAGAGAGAGGTGGCAGAGTGCCTACAGCAGGTCAACGCCCAACAGGAGAGGAAGAGGGAGAGACTGGCAGAGCTTCACAGGCAAACCCTGGCAGAGGAGGAGAGATTGGCTGACACCATGAGAGATGTAGCAGGAAGGAAGGTGTGAACAACAAGAGTATGTTTGTCAACACATCAATTAATATGCTGTGTGGGTTTGTCTGTTACATGTGAAATTACTACGGCATCATTTATGGGGTTTTCTGTTCTATTTAAAATCATTACAACAAAATAGCTCCTACAGTACTACAAAATAATTCATATATATGTCATCAAACTGTGGGATTTGGAAAAATATGCTCTTTAGTTACTGTTATTCAGTTAGACAATGACTAATTTAATTTGCAGTGGGATGAAGTGATGAGTGCCAGAGACCAGGAGCAGCGACAGCCCTTGTCTTCAGCAGACAC